CCCCTGCACGCCACTGCCGCTTTTGTAATTCTCTCCTATATCTAGGTTAGGGCTGCATGATATTGGAAAAAAAACTCCCATTGCGATATTTTATTTTTCTGCGATTATATATTGCGATATGAAGAAAAAAAATCACCACATGACTTGAGTAGTTTATCTGGGAAAAAAATAATGATTGGGGTGAATTTAAAGGCGAGTAAGGCCTATTCAGGTACAGAAACTGAATAATCAAATGTAAAATATTACTGCATAGTCTTCACTGTATAAATTAAATCTAATAAATCTGTGTTAAAGCTACAAAAGTTATTTTTCTTTGTGTTTTGTTGTTTGATTAACATTCATAACACAGAAAGCCTCAGGAACATTAAACTGCTGTAAACCAATATACTTTTACACACATCCATTTTCTTTCTCAATTGTTTCCCCTCGCCTAAGTAACTGCATTTACAAGGATACTTGCAGAGCACAGTATTTCAGGCACAAATAGATGCAGAAGTGAACCAAATTCAGTGTTCATGTGCATCTGCGTGGCTCTCACCGTGTCTACACTGGATGCGGCGTGACATGACAAATCCCGACAGTAAACTGATGCCTCGTTCTCTTTATGACGTACTGACACAAAGTTCAAATGATATGCAACGGTCGCTTTGTCGTGTCCAGTGTAGACAGACTTTGGGGCCGTTCACATGTCGCGCCTGAAAACGCCAGTCGCGCCGCTTTCTCCTTCTTTCCAAAGAGCTCAGGAGCTTGTGCTTTCGTGGCGTCTGCCGTTGCTAAGCATCCATGACCTGCGCTCTCCGCGACGACGCGGAAGTTTCAACAAAGGATAAATGGATTTCCAGCACTGAAAATCGCGTGCAGTAGCTCTGCTACTAAATGTGTTTAAAATTGGTATCTCTGTACAGCTGTCGCGTCCGGTTAGACGCCGTGTCTGTGTGTGAGCAAAGAAAACCATCAGTATAGAGCAGGGCTGTCCAAACTCGGTCCTGGAGGGCTGGTGTCCTGCAGAGTTTAGCTCCAACCCTAATTAAGGACACCGGCCCTCCAGGACCGAGTTTGGACAGCCCTGGTATAGAGAATGGGAATTAGTGTTGGGTCGTTCTTGAACAATTCGTTCATTTTGAACGAAATTTTTTTTTGAGCTTTATGAGATCGCGATTAACTGAGATGTCAGCTTTTAGTGATAATAAAGGAAGCGCGCTGCTTGCATTCTGCCATGCCATGCTTGCTTTTCTGTTAAAAATAACAGCGGTTTGTGAATGTGAATGTTGATGCTTAGCCTAAATAACAAATATTTTATCGGGAGCGTTTATGCTGGTATGTTGTGGAGCTTAGGAGATATTACAGAACCATTTTATGTACATTTCTTCAATGTACTGAAAAAAAATCTATATAGATTACTTTTATGCGGGCTTTTGCGGGCAGGAGTGGGACAAAATATGAATGCGGGCGGGAGCGGGACCAGATTAGATATATTTCTGCGGGAGCGGGACTGAAAAATCTGTCCCGCGCAGGTCTCTAGTTCAGGGGTTCAAATTGGTGTTGAGCATTAAAAACCAATATCAGTTGACCATTATTTACAACTACTTGTATAACAAAGCTGCATTTCTCAAAGGCTTGCACAACACAAGCATGTGTTCAGAGGACTTCGCCTTTTATCTCACCGGCACAACCACTTTTCTTTCTCCTGCAGGCAAAGAGACTGAAAAAGCCCGTGAGCGTTACGACAAAGCCACCATGAAGCTGCATAACCTGCACAACCAGTATGTGCTAGCGGTGAAAAGCGCACAGCTGCATCAGGAGCACTATCATGAGACCGCACTGCCTCTGCTGCTGGACTCTCTGCAGAAGATGCAGGAGGAGATGATCAGTGCACTGTGAGTGGTCCAGATTCCACTTCTGGGGTTTTTCCACTTGGCATTCCTGTAGCTCAAACAGTAGCACATGGCAGATGTGTGTTGATTCCCAGGGAATGAATGAACTGATAAAATGTATATATGTTGAATGTAGTGTATGTTGCTTTCTTTGGATTAAAAAGTGTCTGGCAAATGGATAAATGCACATGAAAATTTTGATGTCCACAGTACATATCAGCCAAATATCAATTAACACAGATAATCATTTCAGTCTGTCCATTAGTTTTCAAAAACAAAGGAAACATAATGCACCTTAAAACTAAATTCTATAAGTACCAGAGGGTTCAAAAGTAAAACTATAAAGAACATACATTGTTACTGAACTGTGAAGTTATCGAAATGGTCATTTTAAGGTAGATCTACTTTTCTAGATGTAGGAAGGAACTTAACTGTTGAACTGAACTGAACTGAACTGGACTGGACTGGACTGAAGAAAAATGTCTAGTTAAGATCTGTGAAACTTAAACCAGTATAATTACTTATTATCTGTGCAGTTTAGGTTGCACATTTTTGTAATAAATTATATTTAGACAAAATCATACAGGTATAATGATAAAAATGGCCTAGAATTTTCATTTCAGGGTCCCAACAAATGTAAGCATTAGCAAAGAAAGCTATATAACTTACCCCACCGTTCAAAAGTTTAGGGTTGGTTAGACTGGTGCTCATCAAGAATTTTAGAAATGCAGTAAATTCAGTAATATTTTGAAATATTATTACAAATTAAAACAACTATTTTCTACTATAATATGTTTTAAAATGCAGTTCATTTATGTGGTGGTAAAGCTGAATTTTCAGCAGCCATTACTCCAGTCTTCAGTGTCACATGATACTTTATTAATCATTCTAATATGCTGATTTGATGCTCAAGAAATATTGCTGCTTATTATCAATGTTAATAAAAATGTTTTTAGGATTCTTTGATTAATAGAATGTAAAAAAAATATATTTTTTTATATCATTATGAATGCATTTACTGTCACTTTTGATCAATTTAATGTGTCCTTCCTTACTTAATAAAAGTTAATTTAAAAAAAGACTTACCCCAATTTATGAACAGTAGTTCATATATGGGTCAATATCACCATAGAGTGCCTTTCAACCCTCACAATACTCAAAATATTTTTGAGCAATATTAACTACAAATGAATGCGATGTCCACCCTGTCATGTGTATGTCCACCCTATCGAGTCTAAGTGGCCGACAGGGTGGACATTTTGAGCTTCAATTCACAACAAACCGTGACTAGCTAAATAGTTTGTCTAGTTGTTGAAGAGAATTTGGTATATTTAAACTTACATATTTTGAAAATACTGTATTCTAATCACTTCTGGCATATTTTATGCCGACAGGGTGGACATGCTAAGCTTTGGCAAAGCAAGCAAACAAACTCATACGAAGAATATTTGTCAATTGAAAAGTCACCTACTTGCTCACCTCAGCCGTTGAAATTCCCGCCACCGAAGAGACAAAAAATCCTGATGTCACTAAAGGGGATGGCCTTTTCTTAAAGGGGCGGATTCCCCAATACGACAGGGTGGACAACCATTCAAGGGACATGGAAAACTCTTCTTTTTTTATTAAAGGGGTGGTTCATTGCGATTTCACTTTTTTAACGTTAGTTAGTGTGTAATGTTCAGTGTTGGGCAAGTTACTCTGAAAATATAATTAAATTACTGATTACTCCTTTTAAAAGTAATCACGTTACTGTTCTGATTACTTTATTTCAAAAGTAATTAGTAATTAGTTACATTACGTTACTTTTTTCTCTATGAAATTTATGAAATCCCAGCATACACGCTCCCGATAAATATTTGTTATTAAAGCATCAACATTCACAGAACACTGTTATTTTTAACTAAAGCAAACGGCTGCTGCATGCATGGTTTGGCATGGCAGAATGCCAGCAAAGAGCGCTGCATTTATAATCTCTAAAAGACTCATCTCAGTTCATCGCAATCTCACAAATCTCTGTTATAACACAATAAATATATGCATAATGAATCGTTCATAATGTCTACAATTCATGATAGGCCTACCATTAAAAGCCGTGCTTGCACAGGTTCTGCGCGATCCTCTTCAATAATATCCTCTGCTTCTCAATCAGGCTCAAACTGATAAGCGATATTAACGATGCCGTTGTTTACAATACAACTGGAGCACATGCCGCTGAGGGATGTTTAGACGCGCACTAGAGGCGGTTTAGCCAATCACAACACACTGGGCTAGCTAACCAATCAGAGCCCATCGCCTATTTCTGAGGGAGGGGCTTCATAAAAGAAGGAAATGATCAGCCCGTTTCTCAGAGAAGGGACAGAGCGGTGTGGAATAAATTTAAATTATGTGAAAAATAAAATGCTTTTTTTTTAAACGAAGCATTAAAACATGTTAGACTGCACCCCATAAACACAATCAAGCCTAGAAAAAAACTGTGAACCACCGCTTTAAATAAAAATATTGTTTTTATTACCAAATGATCAATACACTCAAATGGAGTAATCTCTTATTTAACAAAATATTAATAGGAGAACAAATTTTTAAAATTTTATGATTTGACAATATTCTACTATCATTCAAATTTAATGAGCAGTGCATGGGACATAGCAAAATAACACGATTCCTCTTACACAAAACAAAAAAAAATCTAGAAAATTTATCTAAAGAGCCAAGTAATGCTTTTGTTATGAATATAAAAACTTAGCCTAATATAACACACCCTTTTATAGTCATTTTTATGTTATCATGGCAAATGAGTTATGTACAGGACACCAAAAAGGCAGCCTACAGTGATATTGACCCATATGCAAGTATTGCACAATTTAATATCAGTATACAATTTAAGCACATAATAGTTATATCTGTAGTTAAATGAGTTTTGCCTTCTATATGTACAAATAAGCTTTTAGGCATTGACAGGAGAATACAGCTTCCTCTTGAACTGTGGAGGGCAGTGTAGTCTTTGGATTGTACTGTGTCTGGGTGTTGTGAATGCTGTGGAGCTCCACGTGTAATAAAATATTTTCTTGTAGACCTTGCGCAACTAGTGCAGCTACACTAAAAACCTTACTGCATGATGTAGCCCCAATCCAATATCTCATAGCTGTCAGAGGATTAGCGGAGAACAGAAGTCTCTTTCGGGTTTTTCTTTTCTTAAGCTGTTTTTTAATCACAGAGTTTGCGGTAATCTGTAGTGGAGGTTAATCCACACAAAGGAACCATTTGCAAGAGCCTTCTGGGATTGATTTAGAATGCACCACTCTATTATATATGACCATTCAGTGTGGGTCAAACAACCATGCAGAAGTTTCTTCAATGTTGGACATAAAGTTAAAGAAAAGTTGTATATTCAGAACCACTGATTAGCTGAACTGTCAGTTCATTTAAAAAATGATCAATAATAGATTTTTACTTTACATAATCAGAAAAATTATAAGATTGTTCAAAACCCTTCCCTTAAGTATGAGCTCAATAAGCACCACTGATGTTAATAATAATCCAAGTAGATTAACTCATATCAATGACATGGTACATTCATAAATGGATACAAACAATGATTTTAATTTTCTTTTTTTTTTTAATTCTAGTAAGGGGATTCTGGAGGAGTACAGTGAAATCACCAGCCTGTTAACAGATGAAATAGTGAAGGTCCACAAAGAAATACACACTTCCATCGACCAAATCGATCCACTGTCAGAGTATGACAACTTCATCGAAGTTCATAAGTAAGACACTTGTGAATAAAAAAATGCTAATTGATTATAATGTGTTATAGGTGTGATTAATTTCTATTAAAGTCTTTTTATTTTTAAATAATAATGTAAATAGTATATTTTTATTATTTAAAATATATTTTTTGTCAGAAATGTTAAATATCACTGAGATCTTTTCAACAGATCACCAGAAGCCAAAGAAGCAAATGTAGAATTTGATGCAACGCTATTAGAAGAAACTGAGAATCTTCAAGCAAATGAGATTCTGTGGAATAATTTGACAGCAGACAGTTTACAAGCAATGTGAGTTGCTCATTTCTCAGTCAGCGTCACTTAAGAGCTGGGAATTAGATGCAAGATTTGCATGAATGCTTCAATCCTTATGTTTGGTAATAATGCCTGATAGCGTTAGTTTACATTACTGAGTTTCAGCCTTTTCCACAGTCTCCATATTCAGTAAGCAGAGTTATTTTTTTATACTACCAGTCGTAAGTAGTAGACCTGATATGGTAGATAACAGTAAAGATGTGTGTTTGACTGATCTCAGGCTGAAGTCCACCTCAGAGGAGCTGCTCCTAACCCAGCAGAGTCTGCGCAGCAAAGAGGACCTCATGCTGGACCTGGAGAACAAACTAGAGGAATCTACCAAAACCTATGAGAAGAAATCAGAGTGAGAGAATGAACCTCCTTTAACCCTTACACAGAATATATCAAATCAGGGTGTTGTCTCTAAACCAGTGGTTCTCAACTAAGGAGGCCACAAGATAAGCACAAATTAAATTGAAACAAATTTCAATTTAAATGCAGAAAAGCATTAAAGGGGGTGGTTTACTGTTTTTTTTCTAGGCTTGATTGTGTTTATGGGGTGCAGTTTAACATGTGTTAATGCTTTGTTAAAAAAAAAAGAAAAAACATTATTTTTCACATAATTTACCTTTATTCCACACCGCTCTGTCCCTTCTCTGAGAAACGGGCTGATCTTTTCCTGTTTTTATGAAGCCCCACCCTTAGAAATAGGCGATGGGCTCTGATTGGTTAGCTAGCCCAGTGTGATTGTGATTGGCTAAATTGCCTCTAGTGCGCGTCTAAACATCCCTCAGCGGCATGTGCTCCGGTTGTATTGTAAACAACGGCATCGTTAATATCGCTTATCAGTTTGAGCCTGATTGAGAAGCAGAGGATATTATTGAAGAGGATCGTGCAGAACCTGTGCAAGCACGGCTTTTAATGGTAGGCCTATGGTTTTTGTTTGTTGTTGTCTCATACTTTTAGATATGCTGTTATTTGTAAATGCTACTGCTTATGTTAGGTTTTAATATACAGTTTTATCCTGATTAAAGCTTTAATACAGTATGGCAACTGCACGCGCGTCCATGTTTAACGCTTCTCATAGCTATGTGAAAATAAGTGTATAATTGAAACAGTTCATGGTGGGAGCTGAGCTGAAGGAGAGAGAGAGAGAGATGCAGAGCGTGTGCAGAGCAGGGGGAGGCGAGGAACAGTATTATGAACCGCTGCTTTAGAACATTGATTTTGAAACTTTTGAATCCATTAGAATCGTTAGAAGACAGAATTGCGATTCATATATGAATAGATTTTTACGTGCACCCCTAGTTTTCTCTTCCTCTTCTCTAAAGCAGCGCAGCATGGCCTCGCCCCCTTTGCTGCCTTTTCCCGGGGGCGGGCTTTATCTGGGTTTGTGATGTCACGAAACCGGGAAATAACTCATTGTAGTCCCTACAAGCCGTTTTTGTAGGCATTAAACCGCCAGAATTTTAAAAGTATAAAATATCTCCGTTTGCATTGAACTTTCAGCTTCGTAACTTTGCAGATATTGTTTATGCTCAAAAGCAACATTACACGCTAACTTACGTTAAAAATGTGAAATCGCAATCAACCACCCCTTTAAAAATCAGAAAAAAAAAACACGAAAATAAAGATAGAAATTCAGAAACTGAAATCATATTTCTTTTTTCATGCAAAAACAGAGAATCAAAATCTTATATTGTGATCTTAAATTGTGTTTAGTGTTGATTACAGGAGAAATAGCAGCCACTATGTTCGTAATGCTTGTTTACTAATGTTAGTTTACACTAGTTGTGTTTTTAATTCAGGAGTTCTACAATGTCAAGCAGCAGGGGCTTTTTTTCACTGAAACCATTATTTGACTGAATTTCCATTCATGGTCATTCCTGCTTCAGTGTTCTCTCTGTGTTAGCTATAACAATGAATGCAGCAGTGAAGTGTGGAGGACTCAAGTGTTTCCATAGAGATTCATTAGGTTGAGCAGACCGATCCGTGTTGACCTCAGCACCTCTGTGAAGATGAAAGGGCTCGGACTGATGGAGCTCAGTGAACTGTGCTGTTGTGCTGGGTAGATGAGGATTTGTCCAGCTTCAGCACATTCTTTAAGGTCTGCTGGGCAGGGCTGGATTGGTAATCAGGCATACCGGGCATTTTCCCGGTGGGCCGACACACTTAACGGGCCGACAGAATGTTTTTTTTTTTGCCAAGGACCATCACGCAGGGACAGCGATTTTTTTTTTTTTTTTTTTTTTATAAAGCAGATCATAGAATATTTTGTCTATAGCCTATAAAACAGTTTCTTATAATTTCAATACATGAGGATTCTGAATGAGATTTTTTCAGCTTTTTTTGCCAAGGACCATCACGCAGGGACAGCGAGCAACCAGTGGCCCATTGGATTGTCTCGCGTATTGACAGCGTAAACCATCCAATCACAATGCACTATAGACGGAGCAATGAAGTATTTTGCTCCGCCGATATAAAGATCGCTTCACTCCAACTTCTTTGTCATCAGCTTTTCCCACATTTTCACAGCAGCTTTATCAAGAACAGGCTTGCGCTGCGGTGAGTGATGCGGGCCAGAGCCAGGCAGGACGAGGAGAGGAGAGTAGTTGAATCGGTAAAGTGCTTGATAGGGACTGTTCATAGAGGTTTCCATGGGCCAATGCGAATAAATCTAGATTTAAATTTAAAAAAGACACAACTTTGTCGGACCTGACGTTTTATTCTTATCCAAAACAACTATATGTGATATGAGTGTGATACATACATACACATACACTACCAGTCAAAAGTCTTTGAACAGTAATATTTTTATGTTTTTTAAAGAAGTCTCTTCTCGCGCTTGCTGGACACTCTGGGACGTTCTGAAGACTTCTTCACTGCAGTCGAACCCAGAGATGGGCACTCGAGTTAGTGACTCGGACTCGAGTCGCACTCGAGTCGCATTTTTATAGACTTCAGACTTGACTCAGACTCGACCTGAAATGACTCCAGACTTGACTCGACTCGAGGAAAAGGACGCGTGAAAATTTTATAAGCAACTACAGTATTTTATCCTTAAATAACTGATATTCAAAAGGCGGACCGCATTCGCACCCCGGCATCCATCCGGACCGCGAGCCGTATAGCACCATTTTAAGTGAACGGCGAGCAAAAAACGGAGTGGATCAC